TTTTTACAGACCTCAATAGCGACAAAAGATCCATGTAGTTGACCCCAAATAGTTGAGACTTACGACTTTGTTGTTGTTGTTAAGGACTATTCATAATAACATCCTTATAGTCGACAAACTAGTTCATACACTTTCTAAAATCCAAAGGTCAATCTCCTCTTATCCTCCTGAAGCTAGATATAAGAAAGGAATTTGACCCCCTCTCCTAAGAAGCTATTCACAAAGCACTCCTTACTAACTTCCCCCTATTTACAAAGGGACCCCCTTTCCCCTTGTCTATTTATTTTCGCACAACAGATCCTCTTCTCTTTAATCACATCTTTTGGAGCTCAAAAGCTTATTACTCCTTTTAATCTCAAGAGGGTGCATTTGTCATATTTAGTGTTTGTTGGCAACCTACTTTTAGCTTTTTGTGCTAATTCACAATCTTGTGTCAACATCCTTAAGGCCCTCGATATCTTCCAAAATCTTATTAGTCTGAAAGTCACTTTGCACAAATATAACATTTACTTCTTTAAGCATGTGTCCCTTACCTCCAAATACTCTACTTGTAACTCTTTGGGTATTAGGGCAAGGCGTTGGCTTATGAAATACCTTGGCTCCTTCCTTTCTCTTGGTCACCTCCCACAAAACTATCAAAATATCTCTATGGATAAGACCCTCTCCCATGTCCAAGGATGGTATAAGGGTCTTATTTCTCAGGCTAGGTGGATGGTTTTTATTACCTCTGTATTTAACTCTATTTTGACTCATCTCCTCAATTACAACATATCAGATTCCATATTTAACCATATGACCCGCGTTACTAGGAATTTTTTTTCTGAAATACGAACTCCTCCGCTTCTCATATGATGATTATTAGTTGGGACACCATTTCTAAACACAAATACTACGAGGGTCTAGGTTTACGTGATCTTGTTACAATCAAGGAGTCAATTTATGCCAAGTGGATTCTGTCGATCCTTAATAAGTTTGATTCTCTCTAGGTTGGCATCCTTAAAGCTAAATATAGGGATCTTCACCCTTGGATTAACCCTTCTAATAATCTTTCTTGGTCTAGGTGCAATATCAACAATCTTACCAAGAGTATTAAAGGAGGATTTAGGAAGATGATTAGCAATGGTACTAATACCAACATTTGGAATGATTTATGGATTGATAACATTCATCATAGTTTCTGACCTACCTTGATTAATGTGGGGGAAATCTCTAATTTTTGTGTTGTTTTCAAGTTTCTGATTGCTAACTCTTAATATGTTTCTGTCCTCGAGCGTCTTTTTCATTCCTCCTTGTTTGAAATGATTCTTAAAATTCATATTCTTAGGTGCCCCGATGAGGACATATGGATTTAGAAGACCAATCATTTGGGCTCTCTCTCTACCAGCGGTGCCTATCAGTATATTAAATCAGACTATAGGGTTGAGGTTTGATAGGGCTGGAAAGCAACATAATAACTTTCTATTTCACCAAAGGTCAAACTTTTTCTTTTCAAATTATCCTGGAATCATTTTCCAACATTTAATTTATTTGCTTATCTTTACCATCACAAATTAGATAGTTGTTTTGTATGTAATCTCCACTGCTCCATGTTGACTCATCCATGCACAGATTCCTTGAATGCCCTTTCGCTATTACCTTTTGGAATCTGCTTCGATGTACAGTTGGTCTTCGTTTTAAATTCTTTATACAAGTGCCCTGCAAGTCAATCACGTGAGTGATGGCACGTGTGATACGCTGCACAATCTCTTTTGGTTATTATTATTATTGCATTTTCTCACTTTATATTATGTGATGAATATATATTGTGATGTCATTGGATCATGATAATAAGACCAATTCGCCTTTAAACACAGATCCTAAATATTTCTAATAATAGGTTACTCAAGAGGGGCATCGAGGTAACTAGACAGATAGGTGTACTATATACACGTTCATATGATGAAGACAATTAATCTCATAGCTACTTGTATGGGGATACTAGGGATATAGTACAGGCGCTTATTGGAGAATGAGTTCACTGAATGATCCGCTTACAGAATGCTGGTTGGTTAATAATACCACATCGTCAAACTGATTCCGTAGTCCCAATTGTGTATCCGATCCTTAGACTTAGACACCAAGGATGTCTTGTTTGAGTACTTCATTCTTTGATACCGGACTTATAAGTATGAAAATTTCGGATCTAGTACAAACGGTCATTGGGAATCAGTGATTTAAAAAGCACTAGGCGCTTTTTGGCGCCAAGGTCCAAAAATCGTCCGAACAAAGCGAGACACTAAAATATAAAAATATATAATATAATTAATAAATATAATTATTTAAATAAAAATATGATATTAAATTAAGAAAATCTTGTAAAATTACAATATCACATTAACAAAAAGTCTCAAAATTCAAAACAATAACAATAATTTCAAATAAATAAAAATTAACAGTATTAAAATCAAAATAATATATTATTAATCTAATAAATAAAAATATTGTTACTAGTATACAATTAGTAGCATACAATTAATATACTGTTAACAATATACAAAGTGAGAAGAGTGTGAGTAAGAGGAAGATCGAGGCTGCTGACTGAGAGCAGCGGGAGCGACGAGCGACGGTAGTGGCAGCGGTAGCAGCAAGCAGCGGCAGTAGGAGCGAGAGCGACGA